AGACCATCCGCATCGGTGTTGCCCTTCGACTTGCCGCCTCTATTCTCGCTGATCACAGGTGTATTTGTGGCAGTGAAGCAACAGACCGATTCGGGTACCATGGTCTTGTGTGCCGTAAATCCGATGGTAAGACTGCAAGACATGAGGAGGTTAATAACATTATCAAGAGGAGCCTCACAACAGCCGGATGCCCAGCAGTAAGGGAGCCATCCCATCTATGCAGATCTGATGGCAGCCAGAAGCATCCAGATGGTATCACCCTTCAAGCCTGGACAGACGGTAAGCAGGTGGTGTGGGACTACACATGTGCATCTACCTTGGCTGATACCTATCTCCAATACACCAGGGAGGAAGGAGGGGCAGCTGCCAGCTTCAGGGGGTCCCAAAAGTCTAAAAAATATGGAGAACTTGCCCATCATTATATGTTTGTTCCCACAGGCTCAGAGACCCTTGGCTCATGGGGAAAGAATGCATCTGAATTCCTTAAGGAGCTGGGAAAAAGACTTATCAGGGTAACTAGGGATCCCAGGGCAGCTAGTTTTCTGTTCCAGCGGCTCAGTGCGGCTGTTCAAAGGGGAAATGCCTGCTGTATTTTGGGCACGCGCCCCAGCTCTGAGGAGCTGCATGAGATTTTCGCCTTATAATCGGTGATACACACGTAACAACATGTACCGTATATGCCACCTTTATATCAACAATGTATCTCTTAAATCTTCTGTACCATATTATGTAATAAAATATTGCTATTGGTAAAAAAAAGAATGAAAAGATGGAGTGGTAGAGGAAGTGGAATATTCAAAGGGCTTCAGGAAGAAATCCAAATATTTTTCCTAGAAGCCTTTTTATTTAATTTACACCAGAGGTGGACCCCACACACACACACACATTATATATATAATATAAATATATATATATAATATATATATATATATATATATATATATAAATAATACATATATATATATATATATATATATATAATATATATATATATATATATATATATATAATTTATATTTATATATATTTATATATGTACTAATCAAGAGATACGAACAAGCTAAAAATTTATGTGGAAAAGTAAGGTGAATGGAAAAAAATTATTTAAAAAAAATGGTGGTCAACAGCAAGATAAAAACAACTGATTTTTAGTTCGTTTCTAAAATGCAAACTTTTAACACAAAAAAAAAGACGACGGTTAAAAAAAAAAAAAGACTGAAATTGAGGAGTCGATGTTTGAGATAGTGAAGACTGAGGTGTAATTGTGTCTCGATGACGACAAACTCTGGAAAAGAACACTAGTGTACAGTTCTGAACTTTAAAGGAAACGTTTCACCATGAGTGGTGAGTGGACTGACGCCACCCATGGCGAAACGTTTAGTACGGAGTCGCAACTGTTTACGGAGGAGGTCACCTTAAACAGCCAAGTGAAATGTAAGACATTGAATTATCCGAAGAGGAGGTAAAGAAGTTACTAAAAGATCTTGATTACGGAAAGACAATAATGCCGGGAACGGTATAGCAGTGTGGATCCCGAAAGAATGTGCAAACGAACTATTTAATCCACTGGGAAACCTTTGGGAATTTACCAAAAGAAGATAAACTGGCGAACAAATGAAAAATGGCACTGTCCAGATGATCGAAAAAAAGGTGACAGGCCCTTTGATATATAGGCTTGTCTCGTCAGCAACCATTCTCGGAAAAATACTGGAAAAACCATTAGAGAAAATTGGATAAAACACTTGAAAAGTAAGAAAACAAAAGAAAAGTCTCCAACAAGTAGTTAGATATCCGATCAGCTATTTTTTATATATAAAGCTAGTAGGGTAATACCACAGATTCACAGAGATGATACAGGAAATATATTGGCAGACTGTTTATACTTAGATTTTTAGAAGACTTTCTATAGAATTCCTGACGAAAAACTAATCTGGAAACTGTCAAACGTAAGAGGAATAAAAGAATAACTAATACAAAGAATGGGATATTTGTGTACTAAAAATTTGAAGTCATACGAGAATGTCCTCATGTGGAGAATGAGAGCAGAGAAATTCATCAGTGACCACTGCTTGTATGATGACCTTTCTAATTTATGTCAACGATTTGACATTATTATTATTATTAAGCCCGTAGGAGTCATACAGTGCCTGGAGAATGAGGCGTAATCAAGTTAATATGATTGCATCACACACACACACATTCTCCATGGGGAAGTGGAACAGAATTCTTCCTCCGTAAGCCATGCGTGTCGTAAGAGGAGACTAAAATGCCGGGAGCAAGGGGCTAGTAACCCCTTCTCCTGTATACATTATTAAAGTTAAAAAGAGAAACTTTTTGTTTTTCTTTTTCGGCCATCCTGCCTAGGTTTGATATGGACGGTTTGTTGAAAGAATAATTATAATATATATATAATATAAAAAATATATATATATATATATATAAAATATATATATATATATATATATATATATATATATATGTCGTGCCGAATAGCAGAAATTGCGATCTGGCTTAAATAGCAACGCTCATCTTGCCAAATAGGACAAGTGAAAATTTGTGTATGCAATAATTTCGCCAAAATCATTCTGAACCTAACGAAAAAAATATATTTGATTGTTTAGTACTAAATTATTGTAAACGTATTTAAAATATATTTAGTTGGGTTAGGCTAAAATAAATTGTTCTTGTTATAATAAGGTTAGGTAAGTTTTCTAAGATTCTTTTGGTGCAAAATTAAAAATTTTTGCATTAACATTAATGAAAAAAAATATATCTTTAAACGTATAAGATAAAATTTCAGAAAGGGCTTAGTTTTAAATGAGTTCTTGCTAATTGACCAGTTTTACATATTCGGCACGACATATATATATAATATAATATAATAAAATATCAAAATATATATAGATATATAATATAAATATATAATATATATATATATATATTATAAATATATATATAATATATATATATATATATAATATAATATATATATATATATATATAATGTCGTGCCGAATAGGTAAAACTGGTCAATTAGCAAGAGCCCGTTTAAAATCCTTTAAAGTCCTTTCTAAAATTTTCTCTTATACGTTTAAAGTTATTTTTTTTTATTTATGTTAATGTAAAAATTAATACTTTTGTACCAAAAGAACTTTAGAAAACTTACCTAACCTTATTATAACAAGCGCAATTTAATTTAGCCTAATCCACCTAAATATATTTTAAATAAGTTTACAATAATTTAATAATAAACACAATGAAATTCATTTTTTTCGTTAGGTTCAGAATGATTTTTACTAAATTAATGCATACACAAATTTTCTGCTATTTAAGCCAAAATCGCAAGTTTTACCTATTCGCACAACACACACACAGATTTAATATATATAAATATTATAATATATATATTATATATATATATATATAATATATAATATATATATATATATATGTATAGGGTCTAATATGACTTGGCAGAAGATGAAGAGTGGAGAAGTGAGGCTTGGTGGCGTATGGCGGGTAGTGGTCTGGTGGGTCATAAGAGGAGTTCCTTCATTATGGTTGTGTTAACAATAAATGATGTAATGAAGGACTATGTTGCACATGTTGTGATGCCATCTGGTTTCCACTGTCTCTGTGACACACTTAAGTTGGTTGTAGAAGTGATGAGTGTGGATTCGATTATTTTTCTTGTGCAAGGTCACAATATTTTGTGTACAAGTTTGAGATTGTCCTCAGTTGATGATGTGATGGCTTTCTAATAACATTGATATATGGCTGCACTGTCACAGATTTCTCTGACTGCTCTCTTATGTTCGGTGTTTCTAGTGTTTAAATTCCTCCCAGTTTGTCCCATGTATGAAGCAATACATTTTTTACGTGGTGTGTGTATATGGATTTTTTTTTTGGCAATACAATCGTAAACAAGCGATCTTAACAATGCAGTACAAGTCACATAGGGATGGAAATCTCCACCTGAAGATTTCCATCCCTATGTGGCTTGTTCTGCAGGGAGTTTCTTTACGTAAGTTAGCACTATTATAGCAATTTGTCTTATTCGTTTCCAGTAATTTGGATAATTTATTGATTCTCTTACGGCAGAAACAAATCTTTTTACATTTTCCAGTTCCGATATTTCAACTGCCTTCAAAGGAGATTTAAGTATCGAAGAATATTCTTGACGTGTAAACAAAAGTGCTTTGAAAATCACTTAATACAGATTTTTCTTTGAATACAGATTTTTCTTAATACAGATTTTTCTTTTTGAAGCTTCTGAAGCGTTTGCCTTATTGTGTTACCTAACCAACAGATAATCTGTTCGTTTCGTTCTATGAAAATGTCTCCTATTGTTGTGCATCCTATGTTTGCTTTAAGTTCTACTTTCTTCCCTAATCTAAACAGAAATTGTCGTACGTAGGCTTGATAATATTCGGCTTACCCACCTCAAGATTTTGCTAATACATGCAACTTTTCCGTGTTCTCTATTCTGGCAACTTTCATGATTATTTTGTTTTCTGCAAAAGATTATGGATTCTTTGTTTCTATGTCTGAGGATGAGAAACAGTAAAGGGGCCATGATTAACCGTATTGTGTTAAGAAAGAAGTTTGTTTGGTTTACTGCCATTCGTTGTGATGTGTTTTAAATGTCAATATGAACTTCCCTACTTCTACATATTTTTGCGTCACTGAATATGGTAGAGGACAACAATTAATGGTCATATCTGTCAAATGCATTCGTAACAATTACATATACAACTTCTGTATTTTAATTTTATTCCAACTGTAGTTATTGTAGCGGTACATGAACACAAAAAGGCACGTGCGTGCGTGCGCACACACACACACACACACACACACACACACACACACACACACACAACCATACTGTAGCATCTTTAAAATATACACATTTGCTTGCACATTCTACAACTTTCTTATCTCTGCCTCTCTCATTCTGTTTAGCTTAACTGTGTTCCCACTGTCTCTATTTCTCCCTACAGGACCTGTTAGTGAGCTTGTCGCAGCTACTGCGAGGCACGGCCTACGACAAGCTAAAATTCGCCTTCAAACTCTACGACGTCAACGGAGATGGATGCATCACCAAGGCGGAACTCACAGACATTGTCTCTTCAGTCCACGAACTGATGGGCAGAAGCAGCCACAACAGACATGTAAGTCGCCCAAGACGAGGTGAGGGGGAAGACAGTGAGGGGCGAGAGGAGGGAGGTGGAGAAGTGAGAGGAGGTGTGAGGGTTGGGTGCTGGTAACGGAGGGTTAAGGGATGGATGAGAGGTGAGGGAGTAGGGTGAGGGATGGGTGAGAAGTTAGAGACAGGAGACAAGGTCACTGTCATGCTGAAGATCCATCGCCTCTACTTCAGTTAATAATTAAGATGGTATTTAACCGATACACTGAAGCCAAGAACACTTTAATGCCTAAAGTATTTATGAAAGTAAACGTCAGAGTATATACACAGAGATACACTACTCTTGATGTATATATACAGATACATACTTCTCTCCGTGTATATACACATACATTTGTAGATGAATGGTTCAGAGAACCGACATGTTGATAAATTAGACACATGTGCAATAAAGATACCCAAGAGTTGCACATGTGTCTAATTTATCATACACATACATAAACCTTTCCGTGTATATACAGACATACACATAACTCTTGGTGTGTATATACACTAAGACATACACAACTCTCGGTGTATAAACTGTACAAATAAAATATGCTGCTAGAAAGGAGGAAAGACGTATAAATCAGGGTTTGTAGGTGGCAGAACTCCAGGAGGGGTAGGTGGGCGAGGCAGTGCATGTGGGTGGCAAGGCTCTAAGAGCTCTGGGTGACAAGGCAGTGGGCGGGGCAGAGCTTGTGGATGACTGTGTAACTCACAGCTCTCACAGATGGAGGCACGAGAACGAACAAGAGCGAGAGAAAGAGAGAGGGTGAAGGCAGGGAACACGAAGGGAAGGCACTGTGGGTGAGGTGGATAGAAGAAGATGAGAGGGAGGATATAAATGAGTTCTCCCTAGACAAATGGAGTTACGAACTACTTAAATCAATTCACACGGTGGACAGCAACCAACTCATCATCTTAAGCAACAATCGGATAACTGACTGTTTACAAAGAGTCTTAAAACCGTCTGCTGGAACACTCAGAATTTTACTCATACCCTCCTAGCAATAAATTCTCCAATTCACTTTATCTTCGTTAAGGTCAGGTAATATTAAGTTGATTGTTGTTTGTCAGTCAAAACAAGAGAATCGTAATACAAAACAGCGCCAATAAACGAGATGTATGAAAGAGACGATAAAACATTTCGACGCGCGAACGGAAGATAGGAGACTCCAGCAAGCTCTCAGAATAATGTGAATGCACACACTGTTTATGCCTCGTGAGCAGTCGAAATTCGGACTGTATACCAACATTTGTAATTTCGACCATTAATAATTAGTCGGTTCCGGCTATAAACAGTCACAATTGCGGATACTTGCCAGCAGTAGTAATTCCAATTATTTATAAACAATCGTAATTCTAACTATAAAAAGTCGCAACTCTGGAAATTTATGACAGTAGGAATTCCAACTGTTTAAGAGAATAAGCTGAGACAGCACCACGTTGAGGGTGGTGGTGGCTGTGTTGGTGGAGGATAGTGGCTGTGGTGAGGGAGGGTGGCAGTGATAGTGTGGTTGTGATGGAGGGTGGTGGTGGATAGTGGTGGTGGTAGATGGTGGTGGTGGTAGATGGTGTGGTGGTAGATGGTGGTGGAGGGTGGTGGTGGTGGTAGATGGTGGTGGAGGGTGGTGGTGGTGGTAGATGGTGGTGGAGGTGGTGGTGGTGGTAGATGGTGGTGGAGGGTGGTGGTGGTGGTAGATGGTGGTGGAGGGTGGTGGTGGTGGAGGGTGGGGTGGAGGGGTGGTGGTGGAGGTGGTGTGGGGGGTGGTT